CCTGGGTTCCATATTGTCTGGGCTGCTGGTTTCCAGTGTGTGATGGGAACACGTGATCCTTTTTCAGCACATGAGGATACCTGTGGTATTTTTCCACAGTTTCCCAGGTCACCCCTCTTGTTCCCACTTTTCCTCCTCCTCAGGGTTTCTTAGAAACCACATTGGGGCCATCCTGACATAATGGGTCAGGGCTACTTCTAGAAAAAGACCCCAACACAAGGACCTCTCAGCTCTGCAGAAGAGCAGTCATCAAAATGAACCTGTAAGCCTCCCTCTTTGCAAATGCAACCAAGCTTTCTGTTTTTCTTAATTCCACAAATGCTTTATCTTTATTTCCAGAGGGTTAATATTTAATTAGCAACAGACACGAACCCTCTCAACCTTTCAGTCTTTTCAAAGAGTTTCTGGTGTAAAAACAAATGTGTAGCTACACTAAGGGAATTCCTGGGATGGATGGGGTCTCTGTACTGGAGAACCTGGAAAAGGAACCACTTTGGGGAATAAGAATCTTCATTTTTTGACTCTACTGGGAAGAGAAATACCAGAATGTTTGCATTTGTTTTACATGATAGCCACAGGTTCCTAAGCATACAGGTTAAAAATAGGCTTAGATGGGGGTCCTCTTCATCTCCCCCCCCCCACCCTGCATCTTGCTGGGGGAATAGAAGAGGGAAGGTAACTTATTTTGGTTTCTGTAGTTGTGCTTGTTGTGGCATAGTCTATTTAAATCTGAAAGAGAGAGAGAGAGCACTTTCTATAATGCTTAGTAAAATCTACACATCTTTCCAGAACTATTTTTAGCTTTGTTTTCTCTTTTCAGAGCTTAATGCCCCTCCTCCCTCTCTACCGTAATACAATTGCCCTTAGAAATAGGACTGCTTCCCTTTTATTCAGCCATTTGGTCTGACAGGTTGTATCTGCAAGTTTAAGGTCAGCATGCTTTATTTTTTCAGCATCTAAAGAATGTAGCTCCGTCATGGTATTTTCAGTCACTTCATTGACCTCCACTGGCAGTTGATGCCCCTACAACACCTGAATGCATTAATATCACTGTCTGGAGCATTTTAATTTAATTAGAGCTGTGGTTATAATCCTCTTGAGAAAATCATTATCCCCTCTGTAACGTAAAATAAAACACCTCTGGTTTGCATCCCACTGACATTTTGCTTTAGAGGTGAGGGAGTTGTGAGGAGGTACTTGCTTGTCTTACTGGAGTGGGACCAGAGAAGGGTTTTGAGAATAACAGTCTCCTTTATTGAAGACTTTGGATGCCAGTCTCCTTAAGCCTCTCTGTGTCACTGTCGCCATCTGACGTCTCAGGATTGATTTGTTTTTTTCTAATCGCTGATGGTCTGCCGATTGGCCACTATGGATGTTAAGTGCGTGGATGTAGTGAAGGATTAAAAACTGAGGATCGAGTGAGTCATAGACGCAAGGTGATCAGGCTGTGGCACGGGAATCCCAGGTGCATGCTTCATTGTCTTTGGGATGGAGCCTACAAAGTAGGCAGTGGCCTCTCTGGGGCCTCTGCGTGGTCTGCTGGTTGCTGACCCCAGGGGGGTGCACGTGTATAATGGGCGCAGCAAATTGCACAAGGTTCGGGCAGCGGAGTCTGCTTTCCCTCCTCTTGGCCAAGATGTCCTTTTAATGTTACAGACAAGTCTCTCTGCATTGGCTCTTTTTCTTTTTTTAATATTTATGCTTACAGAACTGGGGTACAGGCCAGAGGTGCAGGGTGGTGAGAGGATTCACCAGAGACAGAGTGGGGAGCAGAATAGTCAGATTGTCGAAGTACACTGCTGAGGGGAGCAGCGGGTGGATCAGGAGAGGTCTGCTGCGCCATGTGGGTCTCCTCTAGGGTGGGGATTGAACTCATGCGGAAGTGGCTTTAGCTTCTTAGTACTGTGCTTTAACTCGCTGCACCACCAGGGAGGGCCTGCATTGGCTCTTTTAAAAAACTCTTCTTTCAGGGGTCACTGTCTGGGCAACCATTATGAATAACATCACAATGAACCTACTGGTGCATACTACTTTCAAATTTATATTTTCATGTTCTTTAGATTAACACCCAGCAGTAGAATTGCTGGATCATATAATAAGTCTATTTTTAACCTCCCACCCTCACACAACATACACATACACAGTGGAATACATATCGGCTGTGTAAAAAGAAAGATGAAATCTGGCCATTTGTGATAATATGGATGGGCCTTGAGGGCCTTATTTATGCTCAAATAAGGCAGCAGTGGTGGCTGACTGGATGATGCGGAGGCTGATTAGCCCGGAAGAACAGGTAGTGGCCGCTGACTGGATGATGCGGAGGGTGATTAGCCCTAGGCAGTGGGCATAGTGTGGTGTCAGCATTTGAAGAGGTGTGAAACTATACTCAGTGTTGAAGCCAATGCTACCTCAATAAAAGTGAGAAATGAGTGAATAAGTGAACCGGTAAATGGTGCTCCTTCAACAAGCTTCTCTGTGTTACATGCTGAACCTCAGCTGAGTGAAACCCTCATTGGGCATTAGAGGGTTGGAGGCCACCAGCCCTCACTCTCTGGCCTGCCTTTAGTGGGTCTCATCATGCAGGAATGCAGCTGTCTTTCAGAATCGTCTCACTTGGGGGACAAGTCAAGCCCCAGGGCAAGACCCAAGTGTGTGTGGATTCCAGTAGCAGCGAGGACAGGAGCATGGGCTGGACTCGTTATCCTGCGTTATCCCAGAATAGAATATACTCCAATATTTCTAGAATATAGGAGGAAAAATCTGCTTTCAGGGCTGGTTTGTCTCAGCTTGTCTTGGATGGAGTCAGTGAGACTGGGCTGAGGTGGCCTTTCATGCACATGGACTGGCACTAGATTCCTTTTGTCCTGGCTTTCAATGGAAGGCAAACCCACCTCCTTTCTTGCACACATGCTATTCATTGGACGCTCTTTGACTACAGAACACTTTCTTCACCACCAGTTTCACTTCCACAAAACCCCTGACAACACAGAAAGCTATTTTTGGGAGTAAAGCTAACGGTAGATATCTAGACATACAACTGGATACGGGTTGTGTGAGTGTTGAAGCATATGAAGGATTCCTTCAATAAGAAAAGCAACTTCTAAAATGCTTAAAAAGTCTGATGCAGCCACTGCAGCATCAGTTCGATGCCTGGCCAGGAAGTTGGTCCACATGGCATGGCAGACCTCTCCTGACCCATCTGCTGCTCCCCTCAGCAGTGTATTTCAGTCCACCTGCCTGTTCTGCTCCCCACTCTGTCACTACCTGCCCCCGCCCCCACCACACCTTTGGCCTATACCCCAGTTCTGTATGCATAGATAAATAAATCTTAAAAAAAAAAATGCTTAAAAAGCCCATTTCACTTTGAAACCCCCCAAGTAGATTTTGCATGTTTCCTATATATGTATTTATGTCTTTGCCTCTTCACTCAATGCCAAAAATAACTCATCCTTAAGTTATAGTTGCTCAAAATACGTATGATGTTCAGTAAAGTTCAAGAAAAGTGGGTCAAAGGGTTTACCTCTGGGTGACCTTTTGCAGGACACCTTGGTGGATAAAACATGAAATCTAGGATGTTGCATTTGCCCTTCTTTAGGGCATTTGGAATGTGTGTTTAGACATGTTTAGAGATATTCTAAATGCCCTAATTGCTGGTAGAGGATGCCTTGGGGCTGGAATAGTGATTCCACTTGGAAATTACAAAATTATGTATATATGCACTTAAAATCGAAATTTCCTACCACAACCAACAAACTTCTAAGCTCTAAGTAGAAGAGAAGCTTTCATTTGATTATAGGGTCAGGGGAGTCTCCTGGTACATTTGATGAAATATAAAATGTTTAGAGAACTATATTTTCAAGACCTAGTAAAAAAATATGTGTAAAACACATATTTTAATATGTGTTTTTTTTTTTTTTTGCTCCTGATTGCCGTTTTCATAATGGCATCTGCCTGATCTACCTACCCTCCACCCCAACTTATTCAACTTATTTTTGGCTTTTGCGTACCCCACTTTACTTTGCCCAGTTAAACCACAGAACGGAACGGAAGTCATATTCATGTATGGACTCACAAGTCAAAATAGTTGGTGTGTAGGTCTGAGAAGCAAATTGCATGACTGTTTTAGCTGAAACGCATGGTGGTTTTGTTACCATTTTTTGCCATGTTTTACCTTAAAGCTAATAATAATCCTTCCTGCCTACCCATTTGTTTTACTTGATCTAACAAATACCACCTGTTTCAATTTAAAGTGCATCAGTGAAGTAAGTTTCATAGTCAAACAGGACTTTGCTTTAATGCAGAGGATACTTTGAGATCTTTTAGAATATTCCAGAAGGAAGGTAAAGAGACATTCTGAGATGGAAAATGAAAGGACAAAGAAATACCTGTTAATGTTTGCAAATAATTCCCTGCTGTGAAGGAAAAAAATAAACATATTTTGGGTGGTGCTTATTATATTATGAAACAGACAACAGAAAGCTGTTGCTTGTGGATTAGCTAATTAAATCTAAAATTTACTGGCCATCACTTTGTGCTCCCCTCTCATTGGACGGAGTATAGAATCATACTTTGATTAGAAACTGGGGATGTTGCCAAAGAAGGGGAGATGTGGTTTTAATGTATTGGGGGTGTTAATCATGTGATTTGGAAAGTAGCTTTTGAGAGAGTCTAAAGCTATTCTCTTGGACTTACTGGATTGCCTTTCTCCCTGCCTCTTTTTTTACTTGCACAAACCACTTAACACGAAGGCGGGAGAGGGAGACCTGTTGACTGGAATCCAAAGGAAAAGCCCATTTTAAACAGCATAGGAGTCTTTTTATAAGCCCCAAATGTTAGCGACCTGAAAGATGAGGGGAACAGGATGTGTAGAGAGAGGCCAGCTGACTTGCCATAGCTTCAGCCTCGGGACCCTTTTTCCCCCCCACCTCGTGTAAATTTCACTCCTCCAGTTCCAAGTTTTCACCGTCTTTCTCCCCTCTCCCTACTCTTCTGTTTAACAGCAGGAACGAATTTCATATACACCCCCGGAGAGCCCGGTGCCAGGTTACGCCTCATCGACCCCACTTCATGTTCCAGTGCCCCGAGCACTCAGGATGGAGGAAGACTCGATCCGCCTGCCCGCACACCTGCGTGAGTGTTCGCGCCTGCGTAGGGGACAGGCAGACTGTCGGAAGGACAGATGGATGGACAGGAGGGTCAGGATGACGGATGGAGGGAGCAGAGGGCAGAGGCTTCAACCTGGAGATTCTGGGTTTGTTTTCATGCAGTTTCTGGAAGCTCTGGGATCTTTTGTCCGTCCTCTCGCCCCTCCGTCCCAAAGTGGCTTTGAAGGGCTTGCGACACCCGCCCTTTGCTTCTCCCATGTATTCACTTTGTCTCTGACTATGACGTGTACCCCCCCAGATCTGGAAATGTGTGATATACATCAAGAACATGCAAGCTCCTGGATGAGAAAAGGGAAATTTGGGGGACAGCTTGTCTTCCGACATCTCTATAGCTTCCCTTGACCATTTCCTTAGCTCATAAATTGCGCTCGGTGTCTGAGTGGGGCCCTCGCCGTTTGGCCGTTCAGCTGCGCGCTCTTCCTCTTGTCCCTCTCTCCTCCTGCCGAGGCCTCCTTGCCGGCCGCCGCTGCCCTGCCATTTAAGGTCATCCTAGACCGCGACTCTCCAACTCCTCCTTGCCTCTCTTGCTTCTCCCAGCTTGCTTTGCTGTGCAGTCCTGTCAGTGTGTGGTACCCCCACCTTCCTCTCCCAAGGCCTTCCTCTCCCCAGCGCCCCTGCCTGGATCCTCAATGCCACCTGGCAGAGCTTTGGGGGCGCCACCCTGGGTCCAGTCTCCAAAGCCGCCAACACCTGTCATGTCTTCAGTGTTTTTTTTGTGTGGCCACCCAACCCAGATGATAAAACGTGATGGAGGTGGCCAGGGGGAATGAATCACCTGCTTCTCGCACTGATCGCAGGCATCCAAGAAAATGCCAGGTTGTCTGGCTTAAAAATTATCATGAGGGCACGAATCCAGGTTATGGAGGACACTGGCCTTTCCCCAGCTGATTTCTAGTAACTTCCATGGTGTGGCCATCCGTGGTGCTGGCCATCTCTGTCTGCGTGATGATGCTCCCTAGGTTATTCTCTCTTGTTCACTCCTCCTTGGCAGGCAGAGGTTGGTTGCTGAAAGGGGAGGTCCTGAGGAGACAGAGGGTGCAGGCTTGCTTATCTCGCGGAGGACCAGAGAGCTGTGTCACTGGGAAGTACTGGGGGGAGCCTGGCTAGGTTAGCCTTTCTCTGAGGATGGTTGCTGAGATTTTTGCAGGGAGTTGGGGGCCTGAGATTCCCTCCTCTCCTGCCTCTTGCTGTGCCCATCAGTGTTTCAGTCCTGTGCATTGTGGGTTGCACTTCTGCTTCTCCTGACCAAAGAGTAGAGACTTCACACTGCCATTCTCTCCCCAGGGAACTTGTGGGAAAAGTAAAAGCTCCAGGGTCTTGGCTCTGGGCAGTGCTGTCCTCAGTAAACTGGAGCAGGCAGAGCTGGCAAAGGAACCACAGCCAGGTAACAGCAGAAGCTGTACTGTGACCTTTGTGTTCACTGCAGGGTGGAACATACTCATGCCCAGAGGCACAGCACCTCTGCTTCTAAAAGCTCGTTTATGTAGTCATCCAACAGTCACTGACTGCCCGCATCCTTCTGGATGCCAGCGATGAGCAAGACCAACTACTTACCTGCCTGTGTGAAGCCTGAGCCCAAAACAGGGTGGAAAAAAAATGACAGAGATTTGCCTCAAACAGGCTGAGGCTTCTTTTCATAGATTTTGATACTTCAGCTTTGAGACACACCCCAATGAAGGCCCTAACTCCTGGTTTGCCTCTGGAGGCATTTATATGATTCACTCTTGTTATCATAGAAGCGCCTTCCCATAAAAAGTCATCATGGTAAAACAAACTAACTGGCAGTCAGGGGACCAGGAAGCTTAACTAGTTCTGCTGTTCAGCTGGTGCGTCTCGTGACATTACTCAGTTGTCTTGCTGAGATTGGATAAGAGAATGGCTAATGACTCTTAACTTCAGAATCTTCTGGTCTTACCTGAGGCGTTATCCTCCCTGCTCGGAATGCTCTTCCACACCAGCACTTTAATGCTTTTTTGAGTAGAGAGTTTCCTCATTGAGCTGCTGCTGTGCTGCCTCCCACTGTTAGCCAGGCGAGTGCCTAGCACACAGTCGTAATAGTTAATATTTATTGTGGGATCGCCCGGGACCAGGCACGGTGTGAAGCCCTTTGTGTAAATTACTTAGTTTTTCACAGCAATACTTTTTTTTCCTTGATTTTAAAATACTAGTTTATTTTTATATTATTGTGTGCCTTTTCCCATTTCAGTTGTAATCCCTGTGGGCTGCCCATCACCAAATCACCCGTGTGCCATCACCATAGTCCTGTGCACTCCTCCCACCCCCCACCCCCCATTTTTTGTTTCTATTCCCCACTCCACCCCCAAAAATTGTCTCTGGTATATAGTTGTTCATTATTATTATTATTTTCCCCCTGGTCCTTTATGTGCCTGCTGTGAGTGAAACCATCCAGTATTTTTCCCCCCTCTTTCTGACTTATTTCACTAAGCATGAGCCCTTCTAGCTCCATCTAAGTTGCTGCAAAAGGCATGAGTTTATCTTTTTGATTGCTGAATAATATTCCACTGCCACAGCAATGCTTTATAAAGTATCTTTATCTATGCCACATATGAGGAACCCAGAGCTTAGCAAATTTAAGTGACTCCCCAATAGTGAGTAAGAGAGTCAGGATTCAGACAGTTCTGGCTCTTGTCTAATACACCACTTTGTGAATGGATATAGTATTTTCTGGATGGATGGGCGGGTGGGTGTTTTCAGGTGTCAACACTTAGCCATAGCTGGAATTTGTTCTACCTGGTCAATCAATGGTTGAATAAATTTGTATGTCTCTTTTGCAAAGAGAAGAGGATGGAGAGAGGAGGGAGGGAGAGATATACAGGTAGTTGGATGGATGGATGGATGGATGGATGGATGGATGGATGGGTGAGTGAATGGATGGACGGATGAGAGGGTGGCTGGGCAAATCCCCACATAAGTAACTACTAGGTTTAGAACTGTAGCACATTATTGCCAACAGTAGGCAATCATCAGTTGTTAGTTTATGGACACAGGTTGGGGTCAGGGTTTGTCCGATTGCTACTCCGGCATCTGACCTTGGTCCTTGGAGACCTCCAGTAACCTGCATGAGCCCTGTGGTGACATTTGGGTTCCAGCATCTGGGATAGATCCTCTGGTAGTGGTGCTTCCCAGGCTCTCGCTCTGTGCCCTCCACTGGGACTTTCCGCAGAAGGCCAAGCTGCCCTCCTTCCTCTCCTGTTCCAGGACTCAGCCGCCCTTCCTGCTGTTTGGGAAACAGCCCACGTAGCCCCAGGACAGGCGAGGCTGTGCCGCACACTGGAAGATGAGTCCCAGCTGGGTTTGCAAACCTAAAAGAAAATAAATACTCTGACCAGGGAATTGGGTTATTGCTGTTTTAAACTGGGATTCCAGACAATTCCCGGTGGAATGCTGATGGAAAGTACGGGGAAGAATCTGAAGCCAAGACAGCAGTGGGACATTTATGGTATTGCTGGGTTGGAAG